CGGATCGACCGCGAGGAGCTGTGCGGGCGGAGCCTGGAGTGCAGCATCCACCTGGAGGTGATCGTGGAGAGGCCGCTGCAGATTTTCCACGTGGATGTGGAGGTAAAGGACATTAATGACAACCCGCCGGTTTTTCCAATGGCAGTAAAAAAATTGTTTATTTCCGAATCCCGGCCGCCTGGTTCTCGGTTTCCGCTAGAGGGCGCATCAGATGCAGATATAGGAGCGAATTCGCAATTAACTTACAGTCTTAACTCCCATGAATATTTTACCTTGGATGTTAAAAGAAATGATGAGGAAATTAAATCCCTTGGACTCGTGTTGAAAAAACCTTTAAATCGAGAGGACACTCCTGAGCATCACTTACTAATAATGGCAGTTGATAGTGGCAAACCAGAGCTCACTGGCACTACTCAACTAAAGATCACTATTTTAGATGTAAACGACAACCCCCCAGAATTTGAGAGGACGGTCTACAAAGTCAGATTATTCGAAAATGCACCAAATGGTACCCTAGCAGTGGTTGTTAACGCCTCTGATTTGGATGAAGGAGTAAATAAGGATATTGTATATTCTTTCAATACAGACACCTCAGCAGATACTCTGTCTAAATTCCACTTAGACCCAGTTAATGGATACATCACTGTAAAGGGTAACATAGATTTCGAGGAAACTAAGTTGTATGAAATCCAGGTAGAAGCGACAGATAAAGGAACTCCTCCAATGGCAGGCCACTGCACTGTTTTAGTAGAAATTTTGGACACCAATGATAATATACCCGAGTTGGTTATCAAATCACTATCGTTACCTGTATTAGAAGACGCTCCAGTTGGCACGGTCATCGCCTTGATTAGCGTGTCAGACCGCGACTCCGGTGCCAACGGACAGGTGACCTGCACCCTGACGTCCCATGCCCCATTTAAGCTGGTGTCCACTTTTAGAAATTACTATTCGCTGGTGCTGGACAGCGCCCTGGACCGCGAGAGCATGGTGAACTATGAGCTGGTGGTGACCGCGCGGGACGGGGGCTCACCTTCACTATCGGCCACCGCCAGCGTGTCTGTGGAGGTGGCCGATGTGAACGACAACGCGCCGGCGTTCGCGCAGCCCGAGTACACAGTGTTCGTGAAGGAGAACAACCCGCCCGGCTGCCACATCTTCACGGTGTCTGC